TTAGAGGTCGAAAAATGATGAACGTGAGAACAATTGATCGGTATGGCATGGCTTTGGCTTACAGGCTTCATCATTCTGTGTAACTAATCCCTACTCAAGTTAAATGAACTATTCTATTCTCCGCCTAGATTTCTTTTTCAGAGATGCTAAATATCGCATTGTTCACTGTCACGACACAACAAGTCAGAATATACAATACTGTGACTTCCACGTAAGATCTTACATATTAAGTAGTCATATAATGACACATCTACAAGTTTGGGATTAGATCCATCACTATAGTAACGAATATAAATATACTAGTACCAAACTGGACCATAATTCTATATAGTCTTTCTCAGAATCTAGAAAGATAGGATACTGCTGTGTCCACATTCCGAAGGGTTTTTACCACTTTGTAGGCAGGATGAACATTAATGGCATCATTCTTTGACATCTCTGTCCATTAAAAGTCGATGAGCATAATTTCCAGCCAACGACTTTATTTCATTTGCTCCAGGGTGATTGTTAAAGGAGAAATGAAGACATTTGGCTGATTAAAACCTTTATATTAAATGTTAATTATTTCACTGTGTTTTTGGATGTATTCGTTCCACTGAACTGAATTTGTTTGCCTATATCATTGCTTTGGGACATTTTGATTTGTCTTTGGTTTGGCATTTGAGAGTGTCTTCTGACAATTTTGTCTGAAAACCTATCAATGTCAATAAGCCATCTACTTGTCCCAGAGCTGTACTTGATTTCAAAATCTTAACGGAGAAGTGTTGTTGCCCGTCGTTTTAACCGGAGAACCGTGTGAAAGGGATCCCTTTTTCACCAAAACACTGTCAATAGTGATTTACAATATGTTCAATAAAGAAACTGTTGTTCAAATATCATCTTGTGGAACATTTTTACGGCTCAAATGATTGCCATAGCTTCTTTCACTATTTGGCTGCTATCGCATTTCGTCGTTTTCAACGTTCTGGCTGTGTGTGAGAACGTTTCTTCAGACACATCAGGAAAGATAACAGCGATGGCTGCCCCAATAAAATCTCAATAATAATTTATTCTGTTACGTCAGGCATGCCAGTTTACAGGCAAGATCAAATTGTTACAGAAGATACGGTCGCCACTGTAATGGGTTACTCAATTAGGATGAAATTTTATAAGGTACACTGTTGATAGAATTATGGGGAATGACACTTCTCACAAATGAATGTAAGTAATATTGATAAGACTCGTATTGCCAATATGACAGTTGGTGCGCTTTATGGAGATTACGTTGCAAAGTGCAGCTGGTGGTAAATCCTCGTAAATTTGAGAGCTTCTAGAAACCACAACCTTATATCCCTCTGCAACTTCTGGGGCATTAAAAATTAGGCAAAACAAAGTCATCCATCTCAAATGTGTTTTCGGTGTCATATCTCAAAAGGGCTGAAAATGATGGTAAGAGAGAGGAAGGATGAGAAGCAGAGCAGACAATGTAATGGAACAGTTAAGGTATGACTACTTAGTCGAATTATCTTTTACTAAGATACTTTTCAAGCAAGAGCATTCTTATAGGTTAAAGTAAACAAACGTAAATATGGTGTGAATGGACGATGAACTGCATAAATGGAGATGATTCGAAAAGCTGAAAGTGTAGGACTCTGTATATTTTTAGAATATAATACTGAAAACAGTATTCTGATACACGAATGGTTACCACCTCTTCTATCGAGGCTACTTCAGCTCATTCTGATTTTTATTGATTTTATAGGGTCATGAGTTGGCTTCGTTTTTAGTCAACTGTTTAGTTTTAGTTTCACTAGGATTACTTGGTAGGAAGTGAAACCGAATCAACGTCGCAAACGCTATTTAAAGAGGTAAGTTGCATACTAAATGAGCATCGATAATATTGGTTTGTGACATCCCATTTGATGATAAGGAGCTGTAATTCAACAACATGTTCTGTTTTACAGACATGGGTGGATTGAAGTTATCTCCCTACGCATCTGAAACAGTGACAGTAGATCAATGAGGGTCATAATGCATAAGTTCAAGATTAGAGTCCGGGAGATGCTTTATTTTCTAGAGAGCTGCTTCATAGTCCGTGAACCAATACCATTTTGAATTCCCACCTATAAATAGTTCAGTGAAGCACAAACAAAATGTATATTAGAAATAACCAGTCCCAAAAACGTTGGTAGAGTAAGACTACCCCTTGGCCTAGGAATTGTTTTCGTTGCTTTAGTATTTTATGGGTCTGGTTGCCACCAGCCGTTATCAACTATGAAGCCGTTATCATACTCGCGTAATATTAATGTCAAACTTTTCGTCGTCAATACGAATGCCACGTTCAGATGCGAGTGACAGAGCCTGATCAACCCCTTTTGCAAGTATGCTCTGCTTATTCTCATGGTTGTGGTATCATCTAAATAAGCTGCCACCCCTGTAATCTCTTGCAAAGTGATCGCCGTAGTTTACTGGAATATGAAGGTCGTAGTCTAAGGTCTGTAGGGCAGTCGGATATATCGTAATAAACCCTCGTGTGTATGGAAAGTGAGAAAATATTTACCCTTATAAGTCACCGAAATTTTTAAAGTGACTTCTAACAAGCTCAACTTCAGAAAAACCCACCGTCGTTCAGCTTGGTAAGTAGATCTTCAGACAGAAGTAAGGGATACTCTTGAACTTCTGAATCTTGATTTAGCCCGGTAGAATAATCAGGACATAATAAAATCATCTGTAAGTGTATGAAATTACGAGAAAACAACACTATTCAATAGTAATTACGAGTCGACTTGTTGACCGAGTTTGTGAATAGTTTCATCAATCGTATTACGTGACTGTCAAGTCATGATGTTTAATGATGTTACTCGGAAATCATTATGAATAGCTAGTTGTATTGTTGACTGAGTATTAGCCAGTGGGAAATAAGTATTGTTCTTTTCGGTAGTTCTGAAATAGCAAAAATTTGTAGTACCACCGGATCTAATCTGCCGGATTATATTATAATTTGCGATCCAGAAATATTTGTTCACTTAGTGTTAATTTTAATAGTGGGCTTCAAAGTTTTGATTTCAAATGCTTGTTTGACTAACAACTACGTGATAATTTGATCAATAATCAGTGAAGTACGATAGTACCTAAATTTAGCGAATTATGTTCGTCGTCTTTCTAGGTAACTGATATGGTAGTCCAATCCATAAACTCAAATACGCACAGAAATGGCGAATATGACAGTTTAATGAAAAGTGATAAAGTTCTAAACTCCCGTTCAGTATAATATGGTTTTCCTGAGAATGATACACTTCCTCAGAGTAATATGTTGTCATATAGGGCTACTAAGTATATATTATGCCAAAAACGGTCCTAAAAGTGGTTCATACGAAGTATATACGACTAGTCTAGATGAAAATATATACAAGTTTACGAGAAGTAATAGAACTCGCCTAGATTAATTTTAGAATTTGGATCATTCAACAGATTTGACATAATTAAAGCTCGTTGTGACATAGTATAGATTGAATAGGACCCAGATTAAACACATAATGTTGCAACTAATTCCAGAGTGCTTAATGTTGTTGACTTATTGTCACTCGGTTGATTCATAACAAATACAAGAGTCCAGATAAATACGTGGTTATCGACGTACGAACCATCTAAATGAGCTTAAGATCCCAGACATTTTACGGCTTAAACTCAGCGTAAGTTTCTGAGACATCGTCTCCGTTGTTTGACAGTTGAACCCAGAAAATGAAAATTAGGCAGGCACCTATCGGAAGAAAAGATCTTCGGCGATGGTCCATGGTTTGAGAAAGAGTAAAATGTTAATTGACGAGACAAGATATAGTATAAAATCTGAATAACGCGATTTATCAGGAAATGATAGAATAGAATAACGCTTATTCGCTGCACGTGATGATTGTCTTACATCATTCATCAACATGTCTATTTAGTGTAATTTAGACTTGACTACTGATTGAACAATTACAAGTTAAATAACTGTGTGGTAATATTTCTTAAATTAATAATGTATATTTACGCTTTTAAAGAAATTTAGAACTGCATTTTAATCAGTCACCCTGCTTTGGCGACAGCGCAGTTGGGAGCGAGTACTGAGAAACCTTCCGATTTGTGCAAGCTCATCATCAATATAGCATAATTAGTTCGATGACATATTATTCAAAGCAACAAAAGTATTTCAATTTACATTGCACTTTTAACTAAAGAGAGCTTGGGAGCTAGGTAACTACAATAAATCTGTGTAGGAGGTCGAAAAGTGGGTACGTTCTCACTTTTGGCAACAACAGTATTCCCAACTTGGGATGCTTCAAAAGACGATAAGAACTCAGCGCCCACAACGGATAGCTACAAGAGGCAACTTCATAAATATGTATACACCCCATAGATTTCCATCTGGTGTTTAGACCATCTATGTTTGATGGACGTCTTGTAATTTAATTTTGTTATCACTAACGCACAGAATTAAGTTCAAAGTGTCTTTGATATCATTAACTTCGTTTCCTGTTTTGTTTTCACATTTCGATTTCCCCACAACCTGCATTGCCCATCAAATAACTTGCTTGTTTTTATTTCTTGGAAGTCGTTCTCTCTTGGAATTTAAATTTTTCTATTTTATTTATCATATTGTAATTAATCAACCTCCTATCTGATGATTTAATAGCTGGTGGTATCAAGAAACGTATATAACCCGGAACAAATCCATTCACTCAGAATACAAAAATATAAAAACAAATGATTACAACACTGATTATAACCGGGCAGTAAAATAGGAAAACTGTCATCCGCTAGAATTTTACAAAGACCCTACACTGTACAAAAACAACACGAAGCAAGCATACAAACTTGTCTTGCAGGTATTGAGGATTGGACGTTGTTTTACTATCCTATAATATATATATCGTGAAGGTGAGGAGTAGTGAGATTTTAGTACTTTGGAGTCAATTTGCTACTGACTCTGGAGTACTTATTACTCATATCCTCTAGTATATAGACCGTACTTATTTCTAGACATGGATTTCCTTACTCCTGACAAGAATGTTTGCAGTTATGATTTGCGAGCTAATGTTAAAAACACTTCGACTATTCCTCCAGGATACATCCCTCCTCTCATTCGAGGTCTTAGTTTAGAAGATTCTGTGAAATCCACGTCATGGTCCACTTCAAAACACAAGCCACATTCCTTATATCTGGGGATTAATCAGGGATATAATGACAAAGTAAGTTCATGTACGTACATTTAGTTTTTGATATATTTGATTTGCTATTCGTTTCCAAATTAAGCAGTTATTACTAACATTTAATAAGCCAAATAATCAGCCTATTTAGTCAATAGGGTGTTCTTATAGGGACCGAATAAGGCGCTAATACACTGTACTACGTATATATATGTACTGACATTTTTAAGATTTATGGTATACTTTCTGGAGTTAAGTGGCATTGCTGTTCATCAAATATTTTCATCATATTAGGCCTCTTGATATAGCAGCTTCCATCTTCATTTCGGCAAGCTGATTTCATCGTACGTCACACCATAAACTGTGAATGACAGAAAGTCGAGTATCCATGGAATTTCAAAACCCATTTATGTGATATTCGTAAGCATAAATCTTGCTTATTTATAACCGTGTGCTGACTTTTTAGGTAAAGTCTAGATACGTCTTATATAAATCACTAACTAATCTTAGACTAACGATCATTTTCAATAACTTATCGGTCTCTACACTTACAAATCCAATGAAGAGAGGATACAGTCGAAACCAATGATCATACGACCCTAATGTGGGCCAAGCTAAACAGACAGGTTTTGTGTAACTTTTTCGCAGACGTATGTTTATTTGGATTGCTGCCAAATGCTTCAGCAATATGTGGTAAGTGTGATTTTGCATATTGTTAGATTACTAGAAACTTGATATATGACTGAGTAGCCATCTTCAACTTGAGTGTTGTCCTTGGTCGAGTAAGTGGGAAAGAATAACATTGTTAATACATTTAGTGAGACCTTTTCTTTATCATTCAGGTACGTGTTTGCAAGCGCGTAAGGATGAAGACTTTTGAGTACGGGCTATGTAACTGGCTCCACATGAGCAGTTGAACTGATAAACACATATAGTTAAGCCTATCGTCGGTATCCTATCCTTAATTTAATGTATCAGTATTAGCTTCCTTGAGGAAGTTATGTGTAGTTTATCGACATCCAGAGTCGTTTTAATGAATCTGATCATTCGACGTGTTAGAATCTCACTCGATATATCACCTTTCGAACCGAGTCTTAGGCTTACAGTTTTCTTTTCATCTGTGGAAATTATTATTATTATTATTTTATTTTTATTTTAACACATAGATATTAGTACAAGGAGGCACTAAATACGTATGCACCACACATCTCATTCGGTTTGTGTGAGGGCTGTGATACTGCCCGGGTGCCCAAACCGAAGCAGGTGGTTTTCTTAAATGGCCACTCCCCGAGCCTTCGACCTGAAGGTCTGATCCACTAGGCAGTGGAGCATCGTATGGAGACGCAGTCCCATGTTAGCCGGTGACCAACAATTGGTTCATATGCCATTTGTTCCTACAGGATACTGGAGCCCATGTGCACCACTGGTTTAAGATCCGGTTAAAGCGCCGGACATTTGCTTTTAGTCCTCTCATTTTCGTAAACAATACCCTTGGTGCGGGAAGGCAGTGAGTAGGACTTTCCTGTCAGCAGCTATATACGCGTGGCCATGTGAGAACATTTTGAGAGGGAGAGCGGACTCTGCCTACTCTCGGCCGTACCAGGGCATTTGGGGGCACTGCATCTTGCCTTCAGGTTAAGTTACGTGTTTCTTGATGAACTTACTGCGGTATCCATTTTGTAGTAACGTCCTTAGTTTGTTTAATTCTCCTATATTATCCTCAGATTATAGTCGTTGGGTTCTGTGACAGTTGTTTAGTTGGAATAAATTGATGTTGGAGGGATGTGAAGCTATGGCAGTGGATATATTGTTCGGTTCGGGTTTTTTTTTCAAAATATATTTCTTAGTAAACCATCCAGCGCCAAGGATGATGTATTCTTCTTCACATACGAAAATAGTCCGTGGATGTGCGTTTTTTTACTGTTCCTAACGGTTCTTGTTGGTTAATTGATTTTCCGTAGATAATTAGTATATCGTCTACGTAATAGTAATAGTATTCCAACTTATTAAGGGTATCATGTAATAGTCTGAGTTTCAGTGTGGCCATAAAAATATCAAAAATTGAACCCAGGAGAAATCCGATTGCTACTTTATTTATTTGTTTGCAGATCCCGTTGTTAAACACGAGGTGTATATTCTCTGTACACTTAAACAGAAATTGCTTTACTGTCTATTAGTTACAGATAACAGGTTTTCCAATGTAGACATTCTTACCGACGCCCGATTATAGTGGAATGTCTTGACCTCATGGCGGCATTCAACTCCACCAGTCTAGAGATATCTGATTTCTGTTTCATTTAGTCATAGAAATTCTTTCACAGATAACTTTTCTCATCTGAATTCTCAAAGACTAATCACCTATCAGGAGACTTACTTCTTGACGTAGGATACTTCAATGAAATTGATGTACCCTTATCTGAATTACTGCGGCTGAACCCAAAAAGCCAAACTTCCACTCAGTGAGGAGGTTGGCGTAGGTTTTTTCAGTGGTGTCCAGTCCAATTCAGGTCAGTTGCCGACCAAATGAACAACGAACGACATTATATTGACCAAGTCTTGGCTAATGGCATGCACTTGACTTTTAACCTCTCTGATAACTCCAAGGTTTCAGAAATAGTTTCGTTTGGTGAAGATCCTAACAAAACGCAATCTTTCGGTCACGTGAACCAACAATTCGAGTGTCATTAGAATGTGTCCCTCTCCCTACCGCTCAAAAAAGTTATTTCAAGATTTGTTTGGGTCGTCACCTGAATCGACCGCAGAAAGTGAAGTAATTTAGTTTGCCAATTGCTTCACCAGTTTGACGAAAACTTGACACGGATCCAAAAGGCTCACCTTAATCTTATAAGCAAAGATAGATAGTGAACGGCAGTGGAATCCAGGACGCGCGTTTCGTCCTACTTGGGACTTGTCAACCGAATGTACCTTCATCCCAGAGTTGATGTCTACCTTAGGACGCCATTTCTCAACGCTAATCTACTCCCTTATGGATTGGGTTTTTAGTTTAGAAGCTCGAAGGATGGCCGTTTAAGAAAATCACCTGCTTCAGCTTTTGCCAAAATTATTCGAGTCACCAGAAAAATATTTTGTTTGATACTTACTACATATTTTACCCAGTCGTATCAGATTTTGTGAACTGAATTAAATAACAGGATATGGCATCAGTCCATAAAATCATTGACTACTGGTCTCAACCATTCCGGAGAGTATAGACTTACTGGTTCGGCCTTTCTTAATGATCATAATTAGTGGGTATAGACATTTGGTAATAGCAGAAAATTAGTCATAATAGTTTAGTATCATTTACTGTCTATTTTATTTTAAATATTAACTTTCTTCATTAATAGCTTGGTTCTCCAGTCTCATTTGTTTGTTTTAAACTATATTTTTCACGTATGGACTTTAATTGTTTTCGATACCAAATTTCTTGTGTCTCTCATCTTGTTGCCCCCCCCCCCGCGTTGTACTGATGTGAGACATCGAAGTTTGAACTGATGCCCATTCGTGATAAGTTTTAGTTTGGTAATGACTAACTAAAAACTCCGCCTGGGGCCCCTCTAGGGCTACTCCCGGTCCCAAGCCCGAATAAAGGAGGAGGGTTGGGCATGGGGCTAATGACCCCATCCCGTAGAAAACCAACTCGCTAAAAAATGCTAACCAGAAGAAATAATTCGAACCATTTTAACTCTTCAAAAATTTCATGCAATTAGTTTCCTTTATGAATTTAAATAAGGCCAGAATGAATATTGATGTAGAATAATATGACATATGGCTTCATTTAAACTCTGCCCTGGGAATTAGAGGGTCTTCATGTAGGGGAGTTATAACGCCTTATGGTGAAAGCCGATTTCCTTCGGAATTCACGAGGCTGACGCTGCTGCTGACAACTAGATCAACCATTAATTTAGGTAGATGGAATGCTCGTACAATGTGGGAGACTGGGAGATTTATCCAAATTGCTGCAGAAAATCACTAACTAAAATTAGAATTTTTCAGTCTAATTCATATGATCTATCATTTTACTATATACATCAAAATAATACAAATACTTGTAGACTGAAAACGATTTGGCATAGTTATATTCGGTAAAGAATTGCATAATAATGATAGTAATACATTTGATAAGGCGCTCATTATGTCAGAATGGGTTTTATGGAGATTTTTAAGAAATTTCACAGGTTGAAATCATGAGTCAATTGAAGCTAGACCACTATATTTTACCCTTCTTGTTTGGTTTTTACGTTTCTTGAAATAATTAATATTAAGTTGCTATTTCAACTCTTTTAATCCTTTTTCCTATTAGTTCCCCATAGAATTCTAAGTTAAATAAAGTTAACTAATAAAATCTCCATTTAAGTCCAGATATGATATACTTTCAGAAGGGGTTTTGTGGATATTATAGTAATGTTATCAGATGCGATCATGAATCAATTGAGGCTAGACGACCATCATGGAAAATCTGGAAGGAGTGAACGGCAGGACAGTTATACGAAACGGCCGTCCAGTGTTTCTAGGTTTTCCATGGTGGTCTAGCTTCATTTCACTCATGATCTCATCTATTAAAATTGTGTTATAATTATTTATCTTGTTACAATCCTTAAAAAAACAGCCGTACTTAATTTAAACATACTCTTTGCTTAAATGGAATTTCTGTATCAAGCAGACTTAATCAGGCGTAAAAGGGTCAGTACAATTATCTTGCTTTTTGTTTGTGGCTTAATAACATCAGAACTTAATGATCGGCCTTAAAAGAAACTAATAGCTAATAAACTAATAGCTTGATTTAAGTCATATGGATTAATAAAACTATTGTTTTATAAGCATAGCTCTCTTTTAACATGTAACTACGGACAAACCCATTGGTAGTTATTTTTATTATCGTGGTACATAGGTCATTATTATCAAGTTGCAATAAAAATCACATTACGCTAAGTCTATTAAAAATTTTAATAATTAGAAGGAAAGATATCTGGTCAGTTAATACATAAGAAGTCAGAACGACATATATAAACGAATTATATTCTCAACTTAATCTTTACCAA